TATGACTCACTGTGGTTGGAATTCGACGATGGAAGCTATGACTGCTGGGGTGCCATTGATTACTTGGCCATTGTTTGCTGAGCAGTTTTACAATGAGAAACTTGTTCAGGTTTTGAAAGTTGGAGTCAGTGTTGGGGCAGATCATTGGAAATTTTCTCCAATTAGCGAGGGTCCTGTAGTGGAAAGCAAATAGATAGAGGAAGCAATAAGCCAATTGATGAGCAACTCTGAAGAAAGTCAGGAAATCAGAAAGAGGGCAAAGAAGTTGACAGCAATGGCAAAGAGGGCTGTGGAAGAAGGTGGCTCTTCCTATCAAAATCTGCTTGATTTCATTGATGCATTAAAAGCATGTGCTTTGGTATTAAGAGTTAGTTGTCTAAGGAATAGAGCTATTATGTTCTTCAAATGAAATGTTACCTGTCAGAATACTAGAGAGGCTTAATTAGAGCTATTATATTTCAGCATTGGGAATAATTAGAGAGGCTTAATCTATGAATCCGCCTGTAAACCATGTGATATATTTTACAATCAATTGGTATAATGATGTATGATTATATAAGAAAAGAAAAACGATAGATAGTAGTGCATAACCGCGTAAAAAAATTTCATGTAGCTATTGCATTTACAACATAATTTACAAGTAATTGCATAGACTCGACCAACTTAAATATTTGCCTTCCAGTATTATTAACCACCCAATCTTGGAGTTGCTTGAAACACTTTTGTACTAGAATTTTACCTGTGCAGTAGCACGGTCTTTTTAATTTATTTATTGTGAATTTATACAATTAAAAATAATTTAAATATGAAAATTACTAATAATCCTACACGTTCATCCATATTAACTTTAAAAAATTAATGTATTCTAAATGCTCAATTATTTACCAATTTTAAAAATTTGTTTATATACTGTCACTATAATATGGTAGTATACATCAAATAATGTATTTCATATCAAAAACTTGGTAGATATTCTTTTTTATAAATATATCTTTTAGATAATTTAAATTTCTATAATAACCATAAATCTAGAAGTATATATTCATATTTAATTAAGTAGAAAAGATCCAGCAATCTGCTTTTTCATCAATAAATCAACAATATTGATAAATCTGTCAATGTAACAGCTAATTCTTTTTTTTTTCACTAAGCTAATTCAAAATTAAGGAAAGAGATGATAAACAATTTGAATACCAATCAATGATATGGTGGTAAAAGGGAAATAATTTATGGAATATGTAAGATTTTAATAATTGCGATTTAAAAAAGATTTTACTATAGTTCTAGTATGTAATAATTTGATAGAAAACATATCTCATTAACATAAGATTAGTTATTTTTAAAAGTAATTTTAGATATCATTAAGATAAGATTAGTTATTTTTTAAATTTATTTTAAAATTAGGGACAATTTTTAAACATATAATATAATATTCAATATAGATAAAACCCAAATGACCCATATCCCGTTAATTCTTTTCAATTAGGCATGCCACATAAGAATAAGTAACAACTCTATTTAAAATAATTACTTTCATATATATATATATATATATATATATATTCCTAGATTATGAATTTATGATGGCTGTATCTAAAAAATAAAAATGCTCACTTCTTTCAAGTTTACACGTCACACACCATTTTAATTTGTTGCTATCTTAGATGCATAAAACTTTAGAGTAAATTTTATATACACTAACAATGTATACACTTCTACGGTTGGATGCATAACACATGGGCAATATTTGGAATTCAAATTTAAATTCAGATGAGTTGTCATGCATTCAATGGTGATGGTGTATACACTGATAGTGTATAAAAGATTAAATTAAAACTTTAACCCCAATAGTGAAATCTTAAATCAGTAACATTTTATATGTCTACTTTCATACTATCAAACAATCTCTTTAGAGAATAATAAAAACATAATCTACCACTACTGAGATTACTTAAAAATTTCACTCCAAAAGCATATTAATTTCCCTAGCCAATTCTTTCCTCAATAATTTGATCCAGTACTAACATGTACCTAGGCATAAAGTGTCTATTCAACTATTTTAATTAGGTCTTTAAGATCACAAATTGATGTGGTACTTTTTCTTCAATTGGCTTAGCTAATATAGAGTATCCTAACACTGAGGAAAGTTACAAGGACTTAGGCACAATTTGATAACGCAATTGCACATAAAGTTAATGTATTCAGATTTTAATATATTCAGACGTGTTTGATAACAAAAAATTGAACATCTAAATTAATTAAATGCTACTGAATTTTTTAGGCAAATCTTACTCTCAAAAATTAAGGATAAACTATTCACTTATCATTAAATGTGATATACACTCAAATGTATTTAATTTAATACATAATACTAGGATAATGATAGCATATTTACATGATGAAAAATATTAACATGATATGATATCAACGTCAAAAGTATCAATCTGATCCTTCCTATACATAAACTCCTTACGACCCCATATCCCCCCACTACCCATACCCTAACCTAATTCCCTAATCATTAATAATCTCCTAAAACGTCACCACTCCCCTAACTCTTCTAGAAACAAACTCGATATCAGCCTTACAAGCGATTTCCACGAGGCGTTGTTTAGAGGGCTTTGCTTGGCCTTCGGCCTTGTATTTCGAAGGAACTTTGACCTTTATATCCCAATCACGATTGGACCGCTTCAACTTGATAACTGCATCCAGATCCGCCTTTGATCTTATTACCACGATGGAAAAACTCAGCAGACGTTCACGTTTCTTTTCAACATCTTTCATGCAGGTGAGATAGGCCTGAAGAGCCTTTGATGCACCCCCTCTTCGTAACTCTATAGGCTCGCAGGACCTTTGACGACTTTGGGGGAGAACGCATTTTTGAAATTTGGGAATAAGAGAGTACGAAATTAATTTGGATAATTTCTGGAATTTGGGTTATAAAGAAGGGCTCCCATCGGCGAAGACAATAGTGAGAGCTGGGAAGAGAGTATATTGAGGTGGTGGGTTGACTTGAAGTTGAGGAAAAAGAGGAGTCGATCTTAGGTTGGGCCATTGGTGCCTGAGGCGATGAGGCCCAAGACCACGTGGATGGATAGCGGTGAGAACACGAAGTGTAGTGCTTGTAATTAAAGATAGTTAATAATTATTATTTGGTATTTTGTAATATAGAATTGAAGTACGACAATTTTATTATGTGACATTAAACAGAAAATTCATAAGTTACATACTGAGTTAAAAAAATATAATATGTAATGAAACAGAATTATAAGATACGATCAACTACTTTGTATCTAATCTAATAAAATAAAAGACCTACTTATATCTGTTCATGCACTTTATAGATGTTAAAATCTGTTGTTTAATTTGAATTTGATCTTGATATAAGGGCAATCCACCACATTATCTTGTTATATAAGTGAGATTTGAATAATTAGCTTACTTGAAGAAAATCATTGTCAGTGTAATTTCGGTTCTTTCCAGCCAAATTCTTGAATTTATATTTGATTCCAAGGACATATCATCACGAGACCTTCACATTGACTAATCAATCAATTATGATTTTATTGTATGATTTAGGACATATAGCAAAACATCTTCTTCTCGATAGGGATTACAATCACTAAACATCAGTTTTTGACCTAGTTGCAAAGATATACAGCAACTAACCTGCTAATATAGATGAATAATCACGTCAAATAAAGTACTAAAATATCTTATATCACTTAATTCAAGAAAATAATTAAAAGTAATGAAGTACATATTTTAGATTTGCAGCCAAATAGTTTTAAGTAGATAGCTAAATCTATTGCCAAATCAAATGAAGTGAAAAAAATTGCCTAAATGGAATCATCAATAAAATGGCAAACAATTTGAAAATTATTATAACTAATAGTTAAAACAACAAAAGTAGATGCAATCTGCATATGGAAAAATTTATGATGATAAACTTATTTTAAACCACAGATAATAATAAAAAAATATGATCTCCTCCCTATCATACCTATCTAACATGGACAATTGAATTAAAACACTAAAAAATCATCGCACATACAACTTGCAAGATTACAAATTTCTTACAATCAAAAAGTAGATTGGTTAAAGAAAATATACCTATTGAGATTTCTTACAACAAAAAAGTAGATTGGCTAAAAAAAATATACCTATTGAGAAAGGTATTGCAAAATGGGGAAGAGGAGTAGATAATGTAACAATATCCGAATTCAATAGTTTACATGATTGTGGTGGAAAAAAGCTGTAAGTAAATGAAATGAACTTTAATGGATGGGGGTAACGGCCAAGAAACCAAACTTCTCTACTAATTGGTATTAATTGTGTCTTAGTATCTATATATCATAAGTTTGCAAATAATTGATGAGAAAGGCTTTAGGAAATTAAGAGACTTCGATACTAATACAATTAAATGATTAGAAGGGCTTTTATGTAATTCCATTCAAACACAAGTTGAATTTAGTTGTACCCAATGTTCAATGGATATTGAACATTGTCACGTGTCAAACTTGTCCCTAGTTTTAAATGTCTAAAAAGACATCTAATTAATTATAACAAAACTAAATTAGCTATAATGACTTGTATTCAATATTCCAATTACATTTCAAATACTCCCACATTTCCAAAATAGCTCCACCCTTGCGGTTGAAATTCAAAGAACATTTTTACCCTAAACTCATTCTTATATAGTATAAGGAATTCAATAACTTAATGGATTCAGACTTCAAAGTACATATTTCAGTTTTATCAAATGAACCCTTAATTTAGTTGAAATGGTGTAGATAACTTTATGTGCTGATTGAATGATATTGTATATTTTCTGTTTCAATAATTAATCTTCTATAAACATTGGAGCATTGCAGGCATTTCCTCATTCTTAAAGGATTGTACAAATAAATATTTTTATTTATTCCCATATAATTTTTTTTAAAAAAATTACCTCATAAAACTCGACCTTTAGCATAATTTGTTATAGTGGGCGCCAAAACGCCAACGGTTTTTCAAACGGATGGAGGCACCTATACTACTTAACCTCGAAAAAATCCCATTTTTGCCTAAACAAGTCCCAGCCCACGATGTAATACACTGGAATTCAGTGATAAAACATCAAGCAAAGCTGAAAAATGACAGAGCAATACTTACTACATACGCCCATATGGAAGCTTTGGGCATCTTGCCTAATAATACAACATTGCCTCTGGTTTTCAAGGCTTGTGCAAATTTGCAAACCCTTGAGAGAGGCAAGAAGATACACGAGGATATGATGGGTTCCCCTTTGATCAATGATATCCGGGTTGGGACTAGTCTTGTTGACTTTTATAGCAAATGTGGCTGTCTTGAAGATGCTTATTGCGTATTCGATGAAATGCCGAAAAGGGATGTCGTAGCCTGGAATGCGATGATTTTGGGGTGTGTGCAGTGCATGGAATATGAGGGAGCGTTGTTTCTTTTCATGGAGATGCAAGAGGAGAATTTGAGGCCTAATTCTAGGACGGTTGTTTCATTGCTTAAGGCATGTGGTGAGCTTTCAGAGCTGGGCCTTGGGAAAGGAATCCACGGGTATTGTTTGAGGAATGGACTTATGGAAATGAGCAGTCATGTGGATAGTGCTTTAATTAGTTTCTATTCAAGATTTGACATGACAACTGCTAATCATGTTTTCAGATTGTTGGGTTCAAGGAGCACTGTTAGTTGGAATTCGATGCTTTGTGGGTATTTTGATGCTGGTCATTACTTGAAAACTGTAGATCATTTTCTCTGGATGCTCAAGGGGGGAAAAGAATATGATCATGTTACTGTTCTAGTTATTATTCAGGCCTGTGCGGAACTGGGACTTATTGAGCTGGGAATGCAAGTCCATCAACTTGTAATTAAACATGCCTTCAGTGAAGATCTGCACACATTAAATGCATTGATGAATTTCTACAGCAGCATGGGGTACTTGAAATGTTCATTTGATCTATTTATCTCTGTTCCTAACAAAGATGTTGTTCTGTGGAATTCAATGATTTCAGCTTGCATTGATAATGGCTTGAATGATGAAGCAATTAAAATGTTCACTGAGATGCAAATAGAAGGCATTAGACCAAATGACAGTTCTATTATTAGCATGTTAAACTTATTTGCAGGTTTGGAAAAAGGATTGACAAATGGAAAAAGGTTGCATGCTTATGCAATTAAGTTTGGAATGGAGGCCTTTACACTCTGTCAAATTGCTTTGTTGAATATGTATGGAGTTTTAAATTGCGTTGAAGATGCCTTGAACATTTTGTCTGAGACAAATGATTCAGATGTAGTTTCTTGGAACACTTTAATTGCTGCATTGGCTCATAATGGATTAAGAAGCCAAGTATTCTTACTCTTTAGGCAGATGCAGGAAACAGATGTCAAACCAAATGGTCACACAGTAATTTCCATTCTTGCTGCTTGTGATGATGATACCTTTCTGAACACTGGAAGATCTTTCCATGGTTATGTAGTAAAAAATGGTCTGGAAGTAGATGCAGCACTGAATGCTGCACTGACTGAAATGTACATGAATTGTGGTGATGAGGCAAACGCTAAGTATCTGTTTGAGGGCTTCAGAAAAAAAGATTTGATCTCTTGGAATGCCATGATTTCCAATTATGTAAACAACAACCGACCTCAAAAAGCTTTGTTGCTTTTCCATCGCATGATTTCGGAAGTTGAACCCAATTTCTCAACAGTGGTAAGCGCTCTTTCTGCATGTGCATATCTAGCAGAACTTTCTCAAGGCCTTTGTTTACATGCCTACATAACACGAAGGGAATCATTAATGGGTTTTCATTTGCCTGTGGCAAATGCTTTAATAACTATGTATGCAAGATGCGGCTGCATGAGATATGCTGACTATGTATTTAGTTCCTTACGAAAAAGAAATTCAGTTTCTTGGAATGCAATAATAGCTGGCTATGGCATGCATGGCCGAGGACATGATGCTGTTCTTGCCTTCTCACAAATGTTAGAAGAAGGGTTCCTGCCCACAGATGTTACATTTGTTTCTGCTTTATCAGCTTGCAGCCATTCTGGTTTGATAGAAAAAGGATTGCAGCTTTACCACTCAATGGTTCAGGACTTTTACATAACCCCAAAACTTGTCCACTATGCTTGCGCCGTGGATCTATTGTCACGAGGTGGGCATTTAGATGAAGCCATGCAATTAATTAAGTCTATGCCAATTGCTCCTGATGCATCAGTGTGGCGAGCTCTGCTTGGTGCTTGTCGAATTTATTCTGAAACCAGATATGCCAAAATCATTTTTGAAAAGCTTGTTGAATTGGAACCAACAAATGCAGGTAATTATATTTTGCTTTCAAATGTCTATGCTGCTGCAGGCCATTGGTCAGAGGTCAGAAAATTGCGAATACTACTTGAGAAAAAGGGTTTGGTAAAACCTCCTGGAAAAAGTTGGATTGTGGTTAAAAATAAACTTCACCAGTTTACTGCTGGAGACAAGTCACATCCTGAAAGTGACAAAATCTATCAAAAGTTGTCTTATTTGGTGTCATCAATTAAAAGAATGGGGTATGTTCCAGATGTTTGTTGGGTTCTCCATGATGAAGAACCTGAAGAAAAACTCAGAAAGCTACTAAGCCACAGTGAGAAGCTTGCTATTGCTTTCGGATTGATGAATGCAGGTGCTAGGTCACCAGTTTTGATCACAAAGAACCTGAGGGTTTGTGGTGATTGCCATGAGTTTAGTAAGCATGTCTCCAGATTAGTTGGCAAAGAAATAATTCTGAGAGATGGAAGTCGTTTCCATCATTTTAGCAATGGTATCTGTTCATGCAAAGATTATTGGTGAGGAGTGGTGTAATGATCCCACATCGGCTAGGGAGGAAGTCCTGGGGCTGCTTTAATAGCCTGTAGTGGTCTCTCCCACCTGACCGAGGCCTTTTGGAGGGGTGCTGGGCTTCTTGACCTGCGGGCTTGGGCTCTTCACTTGTTGTGGGCTATAACCCCATCTCCAGGAACAAAACCCACGGCCCAATGGGGTGGTTAACTGTGGGACAATATTGGTCAGGGGCGTTAGAAGTGGTGTGATTGCTAGTTCAGATCAGGCTTCCATTCTAAGTCTAATCTTTTGGAGTAGTAACTCTGGATCAAGAGGAAGGTCAAAGTTCAACTTACGAATTTTGGAATCTTACTCTTTCTGTCTCCAATTACCATAATCCAGCTATAGACTGGATGCAACATTTTCAAGTAAGTGCCACAGTCCAACAAATTGATTCTGTAAGATTATAGCATTAAGTTACAATCATTAACTTCTCAAATTGCATGTGAATCCTTTGGATATCTGTTAATAGTTGTACAAAGAATTAAGCTGATCTGGACATTTATGATTGATTGAAGTTTTGTGTTTCAATTATGCCTATACTTTGTTGTTTTCCAGTCATTTAACTTCCATAATATTTTAATTCCAATCCTTGTGCACATGTGCTCATGCTCTGCATGGTTGTGTGGAAAATGCTTGATAAATGGGCATTTAATGCACGTAATATGGGGCATTTCTTTTTCAGTTTTCCAAACTTTTCAATGTTGTGAGATGCAGACGGAAAATCATGTAAACTTTGAGTGTTTTTTCTTGATATAAGCTCTTCAAATTTTCAGTAAAGCAGTAGATAAAATTGCTAAAATATTTGAATAGTCCTTAAAATTCACAATTGACTTTTGACCATTTTGGTAGAGCTCTATATTTTTGGTAGCTGTAAAATCGTCTCTACCATACCATAGGCCATACTTTTTGTGATCACGGTAAACAAAATTAACTTATTATAAAGCTATCCCAGAGAGTATTGCTAAGAATATGTTTTTGAAGTAATTTTTTCCTTTATCAAATAGCATATCTGTGCCCAAGTGTAAACATCCGTCTAGAGCAAGATGGAGAACATGCTAGTTCTTTTGCCTTCTGGCCAGAGGCTAATCCACAATCAGCCTCCAAGTTAATTTTTTCTTTGTGCATATGAGCTCAATTAACCACTACTGAGATCTCCATCTTTCCAACAATCTTAAAAAGAGCATGCTTGTAATTTTTGCTTTACTTTTAAAATTTCTATTCAAAAGATATGGAAAAAGGTATATGCAGCCTTTATTCTAGACAATACATAGAGAACAGCTGATAATAATGATGAGTATTCCTGGTTCTTGATTTGACTTCAATTTTATGAGCATTGCCTTTTCTTCTTGAAGCTGGAAACTTAATTTGTCAAGTGCACAGGCATTGACAAAGTCATAAATTGTACTAGGGGCAGAAGAATTAAGTGCAAATTATTCATTTAGGCGACTGCTATGTCAGCTTTTCTAAAATTTTATAGCTCAGGCAATTGGTATTTTATTGTTTGTCTTCTGTTTTTGCATGTGCACCAGAGGTGAGGTGCAAATTTGTCTGAATAAAATCTTCCCTTCTGGTGGAATCTTTTTGGTAACTTCTTGGTGGCAGTAATAACAGGTGCAGTGTACTTTGCATGTTTGTATGGGGACACTTAATCTTCTTTACATGTTTAACTTATAACCATTGATTTCAGATTTTTCTTTACAAAAAAACTTGTGTTTGAAATTGTGATTAGGATTGTATGTCTTATGTGATTGCTAATGCTCTTTCAAGTGAATGGTATGCTTTTCAGTTGAACTGGATCATTTGCATCTAGAAATAAAGTATAACATCAATTTGACTAAGATAGCAATATCTGCTAGTATTAGATAAGATGATAGTTTTGGTTCAGTTTATGTCATCTTACCATTTCATAGAATCCTTCAATGAATATAGAATAGAGAAGGAAAGTAACTCCCCAGTAGTGCCCATTTTGAGTCCCAAAAACTGGCATGCTTCTCAGTTTTTCCGTTTATTCCTTTTTATGGCATTTTTGTTTTGGCAACAAAATAACCAGCAAGTGAAAAATATTGCCGTGCCTGGATACAACCTTCATCACTTAGAAAAAGAACACCATATTTGTTTTATTAACCAAAATTTGTAGCTACTTAATGAGGAGCGAACTGCCTATGTATCAGCATACGTGAACATTTTATGATTTGAGTTTTTATCAGTGCGTTTGTCTTTGGTCCTGAGAACTATGCCTCAACGCCAAATCGGTGGTATTGATAGTTTGGGTGTTCTACCCAACTCTCTAGCATATACAATTTTCAGCTGAACTGGATCATTTGCACTGGTTACATATACAATTTTCAGCTGAACTGGATCATTTGCACCTGGAAAATAAAGCATAACATGGTTATATCTGCTAGTGTTATTCGAGATGACAGGTTTTAGCTGATTTCTTTTTTCAATGAAAAACATGTTCCTGGATAAGATCTTCATCATTTGGAAACTACTTGACAAGTATGGTGGAAGTGAGTACCCTCACAATTTATTGGCGCTGTTAAATTGGCACTGTTGGATTGGATGATGGATACTGCAGCAAGTCACAAGGCTCAATTCAAGATGTATTGTTTGTAATAGATATCAATAGCCAGAATTTTTGTGAGAAAAGGACTCAGTTCTTTCTTTAACAAACAAAAGAAACAGATTAGTAAAAAAATTTCAACCGATGAGTTTACAAGGGCTCATCAATGATATACAATTTCTTAGGTTCTTCTCCATGGAGTTAAGAACTTTAGTTGATCCGAAAATTTCTATAACTACATCAAATCAAAGCGCCAAAAAATCATTATTCCTCAAAAAGTTTTAGAGTTAAGAACTTTAGCTGATGCTAATCAATCAAATTTCAACAACAAAAAAAATTCAAGATTAAAATAACGATTGCCACCAAATCATTGTCGCAACCCAAAAGATTGTAGTAAATCTGTTTCAGTTTTATCATGAAGATTAGTCAAACTCTGCAACAGATTAGAAAAAAAAAATTAGTGAAACACACAAGTTACCAAAATCAATCCAAAGATTACTTGAAAAGGAATGAGTTCAGTTGACTAAAGTGGTTTACTATTTGTTTTTCTACACACATTCATTAATGAGGATGGAGAAAGATGCAAAAAATTAAGTAGATTGAGGATGAATGGTATGTCTTTTTTGTTCTTTGTACCCTTCTCTTTGAAAAAAAAATGCCAATTTTAGTTTAACTATTTCAAGCTTGGATTAAATATTTATCAAGACTGAACTAAAACAAATATTTTTCAAGACAAATCGAATTGTTTGAATTTTTTACATATAAATTTTAAAAACAATGTTAATTGAGCCAAAGTTCAAACAGAATAGAGTTAATTCTATTTTGCGCCTTTCAACTATAACCAAATTCTCTCTTTAGTACTTAAATTTTAAAATGAGATATTTTAGTTTTCAAACTATAAATTTGGTCTAATTTAGGCATACAATTTGTCCTGCAATATAAGATGAGATACTTTAGTCCCGTTTTAGCTTCAAACAGGATAAATTTTATATTTCAATTTCAGGGTTTAAAGAGTTTCATCTCAGTATTGTTGAAAAATGCACAACACAATTAACCAAAAACAAGTCAAGTTCAAATGAAATTCGACCAAATCAAGTTAAATCCGACTTCGAATATCAAGTAGACTGGCTCGACTTTCAACTATAAAAAACTATGATAAATGGTGCAATATTAGGAGGGGAAATGTGACTACACCCAAAGAGTACGGGGAATAAAGTGCAATAAACCTTTTATATTTCTTCACCTTTGAAGTTTTAACTCTACTAGTCTGTAGCAGTGTTTTGAAAACCGGACCGGACCGGCCGGTTCGACGGGTTGGACAGCGGACCGGCCATGGTTCCGGTCCGGTTCTATGCTATAGTTGACCAGGTTAGAAAACCGATCAAAACCCGATTAAACCGTGGAAACCGTCGGACCGGATTGAACCGGCAGTTTCCGGTTTTCGAGATTTTTTTTTTTTTTTTTTTTTACGTTTTGCAAAATGCAGCTATCAAGATTCGAACTCAAGACCTTTGTAATAAAAAACCAATGTAGTAACCATTGCACCATCACATTTTATTAGTTTTTTTTGGATAACTTATTTATATAAAACAAAAACTCATATTTCTTTTTTTCATTTTTTTTAACAAAATCTAATCATCTCATGGCTCTTTCTTTTTAATCTTCAACATACACACACACACACTCTCTCTCTCTCTCTCTCTCTCCTCTTTTTTTTGTCACTCTCTTTTAAATCAAACCACTTTATTTTTAATTTATTGATGTTTTCTTCCATCTTTTAATTTTATTTTTGTCCATTAAATTGAAAAAGGTTAAAAAAGAATTACTTTTCTTTAACCCAAATTATTTAATGCCACAACCACTCACTTTTATCTCATTTTTTATTTCTTATCAAGTTTGCATTTCTATTTTCGATTCTCTTGACTTCTTTCGAACTCCAAAATTTTTTTTTTAAATTGCAATCTCTAAATCCCAAAACGTAAATTAAAATTTTAGTTCACAAAATCTAAATTCTCATAGACATGAATTTTGTATAATTTTAAAATATTATGATATTTTTGGGTTAGATCTAAGATTTTTTTGGTAGATATAATTGAAATTGAAATGAAATTTATTTGTTTTAACTTATAATTTAAAAATTTTATTTTTAAAAAATCAAGTTATTCAAAAATAGTAAACTTTTCATCATATAATGTATTAAATTAGTCCATTACATGTCTTATTTTGTGCATAAATATTTATATAAATTATTTTTTTTAAAATTCATTGAACCGAGTTTAAACCGGTTCGACCGGTTGAACCTCGACCCTTTCACGTCATCGGTTCAATTAACGGTCCGATTTTTAAAACATTGGTCTGCAGACGATTTTGGGAAGAGAAGTGAAGTGAGGGGAGGGAATATTCAATGACGCCTTTCCAGGGTTCTCAGCTAATTTGGGGAGACCGAAGAAGATCTATCAAAAGATTCATCGTCAACTTGAGAAGCCTGATGAAATGGGACTGATAAATCCGGTGGTCTGTTTTCTCAATTAGCTAATCCCAAATGCATTACCCACCAGTCTACAGTACTTACAGGTTCTCACTTTTTTTGGTTAAATTTTTTCCCGTGGTGTTGTTGTTAAATAATATGTAGGTTTGCTTCTCCCTACCTGGAAATCAAACTGACGAAGCCAACTCATCATATTACACAAGACTAATATACTAATACATTTCTCGGTAATTAAGTTACTTGATCATAAACACGCTTTTGTTATCTCAATTATGATTCCTTAGGAGGATAAGACAGCCGTTCAAACGTCTGGTGTCGTGGTGTAGTTGGTTATCACGTCAGTCTAACACACTGAAGGTCTCCGGTTCGAGTCCCGGCGACGCCATGTGTAACAACACTCAGCTCAAACTACTTTTGTTTTAGAAAATTGAGTGTCTGTGTCGATAGGCTGGTGGAAAGATTTCAGATGGGGCTGGAATTTCTTTATATCTGCTGCACTTCAGTGTGACGATTGTTTTCTATAGAAATATTCATTTGTAAAACTCTGGTAACTGTGAAACTATCATGGCTAGTGAATCTTCTTGTTCCCACTTCAGTTTTTTTGCCAAATCTCAAGGTGTTGCACTTGACAGGACCTGTGGGATTAGTAGATGAAAATTACTTTCCGAGACTTATTCGTGGTTGCCCATCTCTTGAAGAATTGTATTTACTTTTCCATAGTTTTGTCTGTTATAATTGAAGTGGTTGATTTATCTAGTCCTTCATTGAAAAAACTTAAGACTTACTAGTTTGGGAGGACGCTACAACTATGTAATTGAGCGTAACAGCCTAAAAATATCTTGAAGTCAGCGGATTTGGAAATCATAAGTTTATGCTAAATGTCCCGAGACTGAAAAGATTTGGTGTATGAAATTGATGCTCAAAGAGTAGCGTTCATTCAAGAACTGAAGTCTCTAGTTAGAGCCACAATTTCATTGTCGCATCACGACGCAGAAGGAACTGAAAGTGGCTTGTTATTTCGTAGTCAGCAGGCTTTTGAGCTTATTAATTGGTTACAAAGTGTGAAGTCACTTGACTTATGTCACCACTCCCTGCAGGTATGTATGCCTTCATTTTACTTCTTTCTATGTCAAAAGAGATGGTGAATAAAGAAAGTGGCCCAGTACAAACTTTTTTTGCAATAAAGAAAAAGAAATGGTGAATCTGCAAAGATAATAAAGCGTTGAGTTTTCCCAATACTTGCAATCAAAAGAAAATCTCCAAAAAAAATAAATAAAGGAACGGTAAGCACCAAGTTTTTCCAATTTTCAAATACTATTTCACCGAAATTCTCTTCACATTTGGTTTTTGAGCGATTAAAAGTCTAATACCTACACACATTTTCAAGTTTACTCTTTCTTTATCAGCCCTATTAAATGAAATGCCAAATATATGCTTGAAGTTTTGTATAATTGTTTACTAAAAATAACTCTTATTGCATCTTAGAGAAGACATCAACCCTCTAAAAAATCAATTTAATGATTGCAAAAAATGCACAACATGACATACCAAACTACATTGTAGATGTAGTGGTAGAGAGACATCTCAAAAAAAAGATTTGATTCAAAGAAAGTTTTTTACTTTTCAAATAAAATCGACCTCAAGACATAAAACGAAAAAAAAGAACCAAAAATAAAACTTTGCATAAGATAATTTGGGAAAGAGATGGATTAAAAGAAGGGACAATTTAAGTGTCATGAGAAGGATATATAATTAAAAGATGAGACTTTCCACTTTTATTTAAGAAAAAAAAAAAAGATGGCTTTTAATGGGCCAAAAATTTGTTGCAGGAGTGTCACAGCCCGAATGGTTCTCTCTCTTATGGCTTACAACCAATGTTTTCAGAACCGGATCGGACCGGGCGGTTCGACCGGTTGGACCGCAAACCGGCCATGTCACCGGTCCGGTCTAATGCTAAAACCGGAAGTTCATGGAAAACCGTTGAAAATTGGACGAACCGTGAACCGGCGGTTTTTTAAATTCTTCAACAAAATATCAAGAATGGTGTGGGTTTTTTAAATTCTTCAACAAAATATGAAGAATGGTGTAACTAAGATTCGAACCTGGGTCTCCAAGTTTGGATATAACAATCTTACCGCTAGACTGTAGTTAAGTTTGTTGAGAATTTTACTTGACTAACAAATATATTAAAATATCAAGTTCTTCTCTTTTTTTTTTCAATTTTTTCTTCTTAACCATTTTTAACCCAAATATCCACAACAAGATTTTCTCAAGTCTTCACCATTATTATCAGGTTATTATCTTTAGCAGATTGTAAACAAGTTGAAAATTTCAACTTTTTTTGTTTTCCAACATCTTAGTAAGTTTAATTTTTTTCTTTTCAAGGTTTTTTTTTCTATATTATTATCTTTAGTTGATTTTTTGCATTTTCTTCTTTTTCCCCTCAATTTTCATATGTTTCCCTCACAATTTAAGTGTCATGAGAACTTTAGCTGATGCTAATCAATCAAATTTCAACAACAAAAAAATTCAAGATTAAAATAACGATTGTCACCAAATCATTGTCGCAACCCAAAAGATAGTAGTAAATCTGTTTCAGTTTTATCATGAAGATTAGCCAAAGTCTGCAACAGATTAGAAAAAGAAAATTAGTGAAACACACAAGTT